ATTCAGACTTGAAAAATACATACCAATTTAAGAGAGTAGTACATTGGTACTGCGGCTATGCTGTCTGTCTGTCTGTCTGCTGTGGAATTTCTTTTTCACTAGTGCAGTATCCAAAACTATCTTCTACTGTATTGCAGTAATAAAAGCCAGCAGAATTTAAAAATAAGATGATCACATTAGTTTCAATGTATCAATCACATAACATAGACAAAGAGAACAAGCGGTAGGTCAAGGCCCTTAATCTCATTTTCATACAAGCACTCAGTGGCACCCAGCTCAGGGCAAGGAAGAGTTCACACTAAAGGTCACCATGGTCACATCCAAATGACAAATGACATTTCTATGAATTAACTGCAGCTATAACTTCATGTACTCAGGGTTTCCTCTGAATTTTCTGTCTCTCCATCAACTGAGAAAAACAAGAAGCTACTTTAAACATCATCAGTTTATACGCATAGTCCATCTTCTCCTTGACATCATGTGAAAGAAAAAAAATGGTATCATCAAAGGGGTTCCCTCCACCTACAACCCCTATGGAGAAAGAAGTCTAGAGAGATAAAGAGAAATTTCTGGATCTTTGGATTTTTACCAGTACACTGATCAAAAGTTCATGCAAAAAGTCACCTTCTGCAAGTAGGAGACCTTCTGTAGTGTGAGCTCAGGGAGAGAGAGCTGCATGCTGTAAAATAATGTATTTTACTGCACAAATGTGCAGGGAAAGAAGGAGATGAATGCCCTGTTTGGAGTTTGCAGGACTATGTACCATGGAGATGGCTCCTGAGACCCGCTGCATCCGGGCTACCTAGGGATGGGAGGGCTGCCAGGCTGAGGGAACAGCACGCTGCTTCTGATGGGGGCCCTTAAAAAGTTTTACTGGTCTTCCAGGGCTTGACTAACGCTTTCTGTTCCCTTGGCTTCATAAAGATTTCTAGAGTGTATCTGGGATTTGACCCTGAATATATGATGCTATTCTTGCAGCGCAATAAGCATCAGTAGCGTCAGGCGTACAGAAGCAAATCTGCTCTTTGTTAGAGAGTTACATGTCAAAATGAGTTTCTAAAACACGCTACAAAAAGGATGAAATGCTGCTTACAATGCAAAGCGCCCTGAAATCTACATATTGCTGCAATATTTATTATCAGCCGGAGCAAATTATCTGAGATTAATAAATTATCCTTAGCCCATAATATGGTAAGGCATAGCAACTGCCATAAAGTAGCACTGTCACATAAAGAAATCTCACCAAAGTACCCTGCTTGAAATAATGACTTTGTTTATCTCTAACTTTACATTATTGATTGGGTTTGCTGAACTGAAGAAGGACTATGAAGTCATTCCAAAGGAACTACTGAGAAGTCTGGACGCTCAGCCAATATAAAGCTAGCAGCAAGAAGGCAATTTCCCTGAGAAAAAATAGTCATACTTGGTTATTTTACAAATATGCAAGCAAATTACATTCCGTTTAAGTAAATAAGAAGTTGTGCCAAACATGTGGCTCTCAAGTGTCTGATTGTCACTATTTTTACTGGTAAGAATCTTTTTCTTATAAGACTATAGTGGACCTGAAACAAAGCAGCAGCCCAGGCGGATGCCTTCCAGTTTTAGAGGACATGAAAAGCAAAGCTTTCATATAGGCATTCCAAACTGTAATTCCAAGGGTAATTTCCAAGATAACAAGCTTAAAAACGACTGTGTTCAGTTCCTCCCTGAACACTGACTAGCTGCTTTCCTTCAGCTCGTGGTTAAAACCTTGGCATTGCTAACCCCACCTGGCAGATGTAGATCCACGGGAAGATGCTGGAGCATTCGGTATCGTCCTGTCCCTTCCCAGCCCCTGGCAGGCTGCCTCCCCCGGTCAGGCGGCGTGGATTGCCTTACCCCTCACCTCACACCAGAGATCTGCAGTGCGGACACGTGTGTCCCAGGCAGCTGTCTGCACCGCCTGCAGTCAATGGAGAGGAACGGGCGCTCATGGGCTGGACTCACTCTCTCTCCCTAAATTAGACAGCTAGGACAGGTCACAGGAATTACCGCCTGGACGTGCCAACTGCCGTCTGGTCTGTACGAAGGGAGCTGAAATAACTAGCTTGGATGCAGATACCTACGTTGCAGATGCCTAACAGCTTTAAACTGAAGGAGGGTAGATTTAGATTAGATACTAGCAACAAATTCTTTCCTGTGAGGGTGGTGAGGCACTGGAACAGGTTGCCCAGGGAAGCTGTGGATGCCCCATCCCTGGAAGTGCTCAAGGCCAGGCTGGATGGGGCTTGGAGCAACCTGCTCTAGTGGGAGGTGTCCCTGCCCATGGCAGGGGGGTTGGAACTCCATGATCTTTAAGGTCCCTTCCAACCCAAACCACTCTATGATTCCCACAGACAGCACACAGGGGAAGTCAGGAGCCTCACCAAGGCCCCCACACATTGCATGAGGGGCTGGACAGGACCAACCCAAATCAAATACTCCCCCAAGGGTATTTGAAATCTCTTTCTACTCTTAGAGAATAGGTAGCCACAGGCAAATATACAGACAGACATACATACATATATATATATTTATAATCCTTATGCAGGACAACTTAAAACATGTCTGAAAAACAACCCGGAAAAGGTCCAACTGTTGCCTCGCAGCTGCCACGAGCATCTACGAACCAGGCTTCGCATTTTGCTTAACAAAGACAAGACTGCACACCAGCTATCTGGTATTGAAGGAAAGGATGCTGCCATCCCTTTGGAGATGCCATGCTGTACTTCCCAGCCAGCATCTCACAAGAAGAGAAGACTCTCAGCAAGAAGTTATTTTTTGTTCTTAACTATGTAACTATTCACAAGAGCGAGCTTACGAGCTCACTTAAGAAAGAACAGACTCTGTGGGACAGTCTTCTAGACTCTGAGGTCCAGCCTACATCACTCATGCACTTAACTTAGACCCACGCTTTACTGCCTACTGAAGCTGTCTTTCTATGCATGCCGCTAAGCTATCCGGTTATTCAGCAGAACAGTAGGTGCTTTTCCACGTCCTCAAGAGGAAATTCCTGCCTGCTAAGTTTAGACACTGAAATTGAGCACACAGGATCTCCCTTTGGAAGGCTTCAAAGGCACTTTCCTCTCTGCAACAAGGGTACGTAGAACGCGGGCTTTTATTTTTGGTGGACTGCTTTGCTAAACGTCTAATATTAAGGTACACGTTGATGCCTAAATTAAGAATAGAGCCTGCCTGTAAGGTACTTATTATAGACCAAGAAAGAAATGGATTGAGTGGAGTGGGTATCATGTGCTAACGTTTCTTTTCAGCTCAACAGCTGTATGTGTGGTGTCTGTGACTGAGAATGAAGTAAAGAAGAAGAAGAATTGCAGATCACAGTCAAATTAGATTTTCCTAATGGGGCTTTTGAAATAAACTAACAGATTACTGTTTAAATAAAACCTGTAACAGGGATGAGTTGATGTTACATTATTAAATTTCTTAATTTAATTCTTAAGCTCCAGAGCCAGTCGAGTAATATTCAACACATTTACCTTCACGAACTGTGGAATGCATTGTGGAAAAGCCAAACAAGCCCTTCATGGTTTGACCAAATCTCTAAGCGTTCAAGCAGTATCCATCATACAGAATAGTATCCACCTGCCAGTTGCATGTCAGAAGTATTTGCTAGCACCCCACGCTTCCTCTTTCCTTCTTAATTAAACAGAACCATTTAGTGAAAATCATGACGAGTTGTTTTATTTCTCTGGCTTATTATATATGTGTGGTATAAACTGAGAAAAAACTACTTAGCGCTTCCGGGCCTGGTGTTACAACTAGCGAATTCAAAATATGTGTGAGGCCTGTCTATCAAGCAATAGTGTCACTGGTGACGAGACCTTCCCTTCGTTTATCACTGTCAGAAGGGGAGCATGCTAATTACACTGAGAGTCGACACCCTGATTTTGAGGTTACTCAGCTTGACTAGAAAATGAATTAGTGGATGCCTGGTGAAAATCCAAAAGAAAGCAGTTCCTCCTCAAACATGGCTTAGTTTCCTCCAGGCAATTAGGACATTGCTTTGGAAACATCAGTGCTTTTGGCTACTGATGGCCAGGAAAACAAAGCAAAACTAAGTACTTTTATGTAAGACATTTAAAGCGCATCTATAATAAATTACATCTAAATGTCTAATGGCCTTTCTTATAACTCTTCCCACATACAGAATGCCCATATTTTGAACCTCTCAGATAAAGTAATGTGTTTTGTGGGTCTAGCACAGGCTTCAGTGCCTGGAGGCTCTAGTTCTATTTCCAGCTCTGCTTCAGACCTACAGGGTGACCTTTATGCATAACCTCATTTTCCTCACCTATAAAATGGGGATATTAATACTTATTTACCTCACAGTTGGTTCCCTTCCAGCTGCTACAGTGACTGAGCAAGCTCATGCATCTACAGAATTGCTAATGTTCATGATAAACTTTTTCTTTTTTTTTAAACAAGCAATACAGACAACATTGAATTAAGAAATTACTTGTCCATCCAGTGAGTAAAAGTACATAGAAAAATAACAGCAAAAGAAAAATCGTTCAAAGCCCCCCCCCTAATTTCCTTTCAATGACACTGTCCTTCGTGAGAAATGCAGGTAGTTCCTATCTGACAGCAACTAGAAGAAACGTCTTGATGCTGCTTCCAGTCAAGAAAAAATTTGCTGTTTTTTGAGTGAAAGTCTAACCTGGTCTCCCTTCGGAGAACATATAAAAACACCGCAAGCTTTTCAAGTAAATAAAGGGGACAAAAAAACAATTTCAATTTGAAACTTTACCTAATAACAAGAGTGGAGAAAAAGAAAGGAAAAGTGAGTCAGAGAGAGACAAGAGATACAGCCATCTCTTCCCCAAGGGAAGGAAGCCAGGCAGCAGAGATGCTGGCAGATATGCCAACCCGCAGCTGGGGGGGACACCACCCAGGGATGGTGCCTCCATCGGCCCGGGAGCACCTCGGCCACATTCATCTCCCTCTGGGAATGTGATACTTACTCTTGTACTGCTCTGGCTATGGAGAGCGCTGTAGATCCAGTTTCATTAACGCTATCTAAGGTCACATTTGGCAGGTCGTCATCATCACTGTCACTTTTAATTTGTCTGGGAGATAGGCCTCGGGGGTCCATTTGTGCTGGAAAGAGACATATAATGGATTAATATGAGCGTGCTGAAATTAATCTCGTCCCAGAACAACATCAGGGTGCTCAGCGCATCCGCTGGCTCGGGCCGGATGGCACCCCTTGTGCCAAGCATCCTGAACCCAGCGACAGATTCGCCGTGGCACCTACAGCCAGGCCAAGCATGTCCTGCGGCACGCGGGCTACACCAACCCATCCAGCCAACCTGAAATAAAACTCAGTTTATCCTCAAGTTACTTATTCACAGAATCACAGAATGGTTAGACTTGGAAGAGACCTTCAAGATCATGGAGTTCCAACCCCCCCTGCCATGGGCAGGGACACCTCCCACTAGAGCAGGTTGCCCAAAGCCCCATCCAGCCTGGCCTTGAACACTTCCAGGGATGGGGCCTCCACAGCTTCTCTGGGCAACCTGTTCCAGTGCCTCACCACCCTCACAGGAAATAATTTCTTCCTAAGATCTAGTTTAAATCTCCCCTCCTGCAGTTTAAAACCGTTACCCCTCGTCCTATCACTCCACTCCCTGACAAAGAGTCTGGTTGTCTTCAGAAAGTAAAAAGAAAGGGCTATGTCTGCTTAGTACAACACAGCACACTTGAGAGAAAATTTTACAGCATAATTTCAGTAGCAATCTTTGATTTCGACTTGTCCATCATGAGATAAGAGACTGGGACCCAGGTCCCTCCAGTTAACTAAAAGTTAGGTGTCAAAAAAACCCCTCAGTTGTACCAGTTTCTGACACAATTCAACACCAGTGTCAGCTTCTGAAGGAGCCTTCCCTCCATGTTACACACAGCAAAGCCACCACATGTAACTTCTGACAGGCAACTAACTTTGTGGTAACTGATGTCGGCTGCCCTCAGGCAGATTTTTTTGGAAAAGTTCACACAGTCTCAGGTCTTTATGAACAGCCGAAGAGCAGGAATTGCAGGATTGTTTTGTCTACCCACAGTTTACAGTATCCATACTGCATGGCACTGCATGGCACCGCATGGGGCACAGCCCACTCCGACCAACCCGCCTCACAGGGCACGGCCCAGCTCCGCAGCCAAAATGGTGGTGCCTCAGGGAAAATAGGTTTAAAAAAGGGCAAAAAAAAGATGCCACATGGGCAGAATGAGGAAGAAACTGTGGAAAAACCGCCTTGCAGACATCAAGGTGAGAGGGGAAAGAATGGAAGAGGTGCTGCTCTGTGGTGGGGCAGAGATTCCCCTTCAGCTGAAGAGACCATGGTGGAGCAGGAGAACAGCACGAGGAAGAAGGGAGTGCAGAGAAGAGGTACTATGGACTGATCACAGCTCCCATTCCCCACCCCAGGAATGAAGGAGTGAGGTTGAGCCCGGGAAAAAGGGGGCAGGGAGGCTGGTTCTTTACCATCCTAATCTACTTTTAATTGGCAAGAAATTAAATTAATTTTCCCCCAGTCAAGTCTGGTTTGCCTGTGACAGCACTCGGTGGGTGATCTCCCTGTCTTTATCTCAACCCAAGAGCTCTTCCACCTGATTTTCTCCCCGTCTTGTGGAGGAGCCGAGGGTGTGAGAGCAGCTAGGTGGGTGCCTGGCACCAGCCAAGGTCAACTCACCAGAGTTACATCTTGTGCCACAGAGAGATGGGAAAGAAGAGGAGAGCAGAAGAGTAGGGCCACCTGCTTTCCCTCTTATCCTGGCTGCTGCCCTCCAGAGGGAAATAAGCCCAACCCGCATAGGGGGCAAGGTGGAGGAAACCAAGAGATGGGTGTGAGGGGGACTATGGGGCACAAGTATGACTTGGGATAGTCCTGAGAGGATCTGAGGGTTGCTTGTGTCTGGGGACAGACAGAGACAAGCTTTGGAGGTGACACTCCCCCTCACCCATGGAATACCACGTAGGATTAGTAAGTGCTGAAAGACACCGAAAGCAGCTGGAGTAGAAGAGAGAAACTGGAGAGAGGTCTGACCCTGCAAGGGAGGAGAGGGAAGGGGAAGACAGGCAAAGGGATTTGTTTAAATGCGTGTTTGTTTTGTTTGGCCAGGTGAAATAGAGGAATCCAAGATTATTTCTTCAAAAAGCTAATTGTTAAGTTTGTGCTCTCCTGTACTGCAGTTATCAGAGGTAGGACACTTTCTGGGTCTTGCGACGTGCTTTTCAAGAAAGGTAGCTGTCATTCCTACTCAGCTCTGGCTAACCACAGCCCTGGACAACAGGTATCACAGGCTCCCAGTAGAGATCAAGAATGGTTCAGTGAGCCTACGGCTAGACAGCAGCTCCAAAAATCACAGTTAGGTTCCCCATTTTGCCATGTTTCTTATGTTACCGTGCTCGCTGCCTCTAGAAAAGGGACTGAGTTACATGGAAGAACAGGAGGGCTGTAGAGACTCCAGGAGCTGTGCAGCCATAAAAAATAGCACTGATGGATAGCTGGGCTCTCGAAAAGAAAGCCCTTCTCCAAATGAGTGATGACTCAAGGGAAAGTTGGTCTTAAATTTTAATTTACGTCTTACCTGTGAACCACCTCTGAGTAGAAGAACAGTAAGTGATTATAACTACCCTTCAGCTGCATTTTTTAATGTTAAAGAACTTCATAAAGAAAATACTATTAAAATATGTTCAGTAAGCTGATGCAACAACCTCTTCTGGAATCACAGTGCATTTACAGATGCACAGTGTGACTTCTATTAGCTTTCTACTAGCACAGTTTAGATGCCTCAGTAATACTGGCTAGGTTTGGACTGCTTATTATTTCTTCATGTGTGGTAAAGAAAACACCTTTTGTTTAGCAAAGCAAAGACTGTTGACAATGAACAATGACCTGCATGAGACAAACGTACAAACAATTTTGAAATTGTTCAAAACATTTAATTGTTTTAGATAGAATAAGCACCACGTGTTTCTTAAAATCATGACTTAACACTTGATAGTATTCAATGCATACCAGAGTATTAGAGATAATCTAGTATTTGATTCAAGAACAACTGAACCATCTAGTCAGCTGATTAAGCCCAAGAAAATTATTTGGAAAGATGAGCTATTTCTGAGGATGTCTTGTTCCCTATCATTCCTTCTTAAAAGCAACTTTGAGTATCAGATTATTATTACTTATTTCATTACTTCTTCAGTTTTTCTTAAAGTGAATCTCGTTACAAGAAGTTATATCACAGAATAGCCTAGGTTGGAAGGGACCTTTAAGATCATCTAGTCCAACCATAAAAAAAAAGTTTGTATCATATTTTTGTACAAACGTTTGTACCTGCCCCATATTTAAATGCTGCTACACGTGATGCCTTTGTGAAAGCTAATGTTTGTAAATAAAATTAAAATTGTAACAAAAAACTATGTATGTGATATTGCGTATTAATGATGGGTTAATCTGACTTACACTATAGCAAAAGTTTTAAGTAGCTAGCTCAGGAACTTTCTTAATGTTTAAACCTAGGCCTAACTTCAAATCACTAAAGTTGTTACATAGTTTAGTCTGTAATACAGTTGTTATACATGAATTTTGATCACTAAAGTGTGAATACACCTACATAAAAAGAGTCAGTATAAACGTGTATGAAAAGTCTTACCCACTTTTGTTCCTTATAAGACATGCTGTTTCACTATTATTGCAGATTGCCAACACTTGAGATATTACTGAGACTCCTATGATATTTGGTGGTGTTTTTAGATTACCAGAGGAATGTGCAAGGAGGAAGACTCGCAATTAGATTAAAACGCTACCTTCTTTTTGTTTCTGCTCAGTGAGCTAAATCCTACTCTGTATACTCCTAACATAGCCATAAAGTTGCCAAGGGGGTTGTGCTTTTGCCCCTGGGGATAATTTGGCCCACTGGGCACAGTGTGCCCCACCAGACACCAACGTCTGAGCACATCATGAGGTGCTGCGACACTTGAGCATGGCGAGAAGAAGAGGTGAGGAATGGAAACCTATCAGTGGGCAAACAGAAAGGTGGGGAATTCAAGGACATTATTTGTTATATTTTGCAGTGAACCTAACCGACGATGATAATTAAATTAGCACATGATCTAGGGATTATATTTTAATGTTGGCCCGCCTTTACATGGGTTTTTGTCTCTTTTTCCATTTGTGACCTCTTCTCAGCTTGCAGCCTTGGGTGGCCGAGGCGCTGGGGAGCCGAGGTGACTATCCAGGAGGCTGAACTTCGCTGCTGCCGGCTGGTGCAAACTGCCCTGTTTTCTCATCAGCACGGCTGCAGCTGCTGCAGGGAAAAACAGCTTTTAAAGCCATTCCCCTCCGCGAAATGAGCCATGTGAATAACCAACTGGACGGAAGCCTAACAGATATCTCCTCCTCACCACTCACTACAGCGCGCAAACTGCAGTACAGGATTTTTATACATTCAGAGTTCGTGACTCCTACTTATGTCAACAGCTTTGACTTTCTCTTGGACATCTAAGAACAACTGTCGAACTGCTGGCACCAGGGTTTATAAATACCAGCGGCAGTTCATAAACACTGAATTAAGAGTAATTACTGGCCTAACGAACATCAAACGGGAAAGAATGAAGAGATGCAGGCAAGAGATAATTTAGCAAATGAGATGAAAAAGGTGGAGGACAAGTGAGTAATGGAATGCGATTGGCAAGCAAGGTGGAGAAAAGCCCACAAAACATGCCAGTACATTTTACCTTCCCTTCGTGCTGTACCTTGCTCTGATGACCAAGCTTTTCCTTGAATTTATCATAGAACCATAGAATGGTTTGGGTTGGAAGGGACCTTCAAGATCATGGAGTTCCAACCCCCCTGCCATGGGCAGGGACACCTCCCACTAGAGCAGGTTGCTCAAAGCCCCATCCAGCCCAACTTAGGACCATGGGTCCAGAAGGGACCCAGCTGGGTCCCTGGATCAAGTCCTCCCTGTGGCAGGCAGACACATTTCATTAATAAAGCTCAAGCCTTAAACATGAGCTGGTTTCCTTGCCCTTGCTACTGCTCTTGAAAGGCGAGATTTGTCCGACAGAGCTACCCAGTGGTTTTGTGAAGTGTGAATGA